TTGTTTCGTATCAGTTATTTCCTCGCTTTCCATTATTATATTCATTCTTATATTTCATTCTGTTTATTTATATCCTAGTAGGCGTCTTGACCTGGCCTCATTACTGCTCTACCGAGGTTAGGCTTGATACTTACTGGGTACCATTGTGGTGTAATCATACTATGCTTCTGCACAATTTTTGTGCAGCTTCAGGTACGTCTGCCCATAGCGGACGCTAAAGTTGATTGAGTTGCTGCTTTGGAGACTTCAAGGTATACCTGCTCCACATCTACAGGCCTCGGAGTCACCTTCATTTACCTTTATTACTGTTGTAGTCTTCATTCAGATAGTGATGTACTAGAAAATTTAGCTTACTATGTAGAGCTTATGACTCTGTTCCACCGTTCTTGGGGATTGTATGGTTGAGATTCTACTTTTTATATGTTTATATGAGTTTATCAGACTAGTTTTTAGTTTGTTAATTATATCTATTCAATTATTATCAAATGTTAGGCTTACCTAGACGTAGAGACTAGGTTCCATCACAACATCCTACGGGGGAAAATTTGGGTCGTGACAAGTTGGTATCAGAGCTATAGGTTCATAGGTGTTACGTGTCATAAGCAGGTTTAGTAGAGTCTTGCGGATCGGTGCGGGGATGTCTGTACTTATCTTCGAGAGGCTACGAAAATGTTAGGAAAACTTCACTTCTTTGATTCTTTATTATGCAAATTGGTTGAGTTAAAAAAAACTGAATCTTTGACTTCTATTCCCTCACAGATAGTTAGGATACGCACTGCTGGATCTGACGATCAAACACCCCCCCTGCTAGAGCCGTGAGGGGTCGGGACTGGGGCAAAGGCCGAGGAGGGGCACGTGGTGCAGCCATAGCACCTGCCCGAGCTGCAACAGAGGAGCCACCAGTAGCTCCAGTTGGGGGACAGTCACCCGAGGCGCTTGTTGCCACCCAGCACTTCACGAGACCCTCGCACAGTTCTTGAGCATGTTCGGTACCTTAGCTCAGGCGGGGTTGATTCCACTTGCACCAACCACATCTCAGGCTGGGGCAGGAGCTCAGACTCTTGCGGCCCGTACCCCAGAGAAACGTGTTTAGGTTGATCAGGTCTCAGAAGTTATACTAGTACAGCCTGTTGTTCCAGTTCAGCTCGTGGTTAGGGAAGCAACATCTGAGGAGGAGCAGCTTAGGCTCGAGAGGTTCAAGAAGTATCACACTCCTACTTTCAGTGGTTTGGCTTCAGAGGATGCACATGGTTTTCTTAAAGAGTGCCACCGTATTCACTGCACTATGGGTATTGTGCAGATGAGTGGGGTTGCTTTCACTACTTTCTAGCTGTCAGAAGCCGCATAACAGTGGTGGCGAGCGTACGAGTAGGGTAGCCCAGCCGAGGCAGCTTCACTTACATGGACTTGGTTTTCAGAGTTGTTCTTGAGAGAGTTTGTTGCTCAGACCCTTAGGGATGCATGGCGCACAGATTTTGAGCAGTTGCGCCAGGGTACTATGACAATATCAGAGTATCATGTCCGATTCAGTGATTTGTTCAGACATGCACCTGCCTTGGTTTCTATAGTCAGAGAGCGAGTCCGTCGATTTAGCGAGGCTCAACTATGGTATTAGGTTCAACATAGCTCGAGAATTGGAGACAGATACCCCATATCAACAAGTGGTAAAGATTGCACGGAGGTTGGAGGGTATGCGAGGCCGTGAAAGGGAGGACAGGGAGGCCAAGAAGCCTCGAGGTACGGGAGGATTTAGTGGTGGTCATGCTGCAGCTACAGCCCGTCACGGTAGAGGCTATGAGAACCATCCAGTTCATTCAGCACTTCCAACTTCTAGTGGTGTTCCGGTTGTGTCACGACCCATTTTTCCCTCCGTAAGACGTCGTGACGGCACCTCGTATCTACGACTAGGTAAGCCTAACAATTGCGGAAAAATAAAAAATGCAGACAGAACCAACAACTAATTTTCATCAGATAACTATATAACGGAAAAATATCGCTCGGCATGTCCAAGTAGCCAACAGCTCGAGTATAACAATATTCTCAAAACCAGGTAATCACAAGTTACAAGCTCTAAGAAGTTGTCTAACTATTTCTATGCATCAGTAACTAGAAGAAATAAAGGAGGAACAACATGAAAAGGATAGAGGGGGACTCCGAGGTTTGCGGACGCTGGTAGATATACCTTGAAATCTCCGGAGCAGCAGCAAGTACACAACTAATAGCGGGGCTGGTAGGAGGTACCTGGATCTGCACACAAAATATGTGCTGAAGAGTAGCATGAGTACACCATAACGGTACTTAGTAAGTGCCAAGCCTAACCTCGGTAGAGTAGTCATGAGGTCAGGTCAGGGCCCTACTGATATATAATAATTTAAGGCAGAAAAATATAGCAATGTAATAAGAGACTGGAAATTTAACGAGGAGAAACTACAGAAAGATAACAACACATCACATAGGGATAAACAACAAGGGCACTCCCGAGATACCGTCTCGTAGTCCCAAAAGTAAATGCTTAACAGGGGATCTCCCGAGGTACCGCCTCGTAGTCCCTAAAGTAAACACACAGCTCGAAATCGATGGAAACAACAATTATAGCAAGAAATCCTACGGTTTATGACTAAATACAAGTCAAGGAAAAACAGGAAATCAACTAAGCATGTTGTACAGGTTTCAAATAAGCAATTAAGATACGTAGACATGCGATGTTAGGCTAACAGGATAACTACACATGGTGGTATAACACAATTAAGATGTAACAGGTTACTGCTCAGGAATAACCGGATTTTTCAACAATTAGCCCGTGAACGCACTCATCACCTTGTGTACACGGCACTCACATATCAGAGAAGTATTACAACAGTACCAAATCCTAAGGGGATTTTCCCCACACAAGTTTAAGCAAGCTACTTACCTCAAACTAAGCTCAATCAATTAGAACGCCTTTTTCTCGACTTTCCGGCTCCGAATGGCCCAAATCTAGCCAAAAACAATCACATACTTTAAATATAACTATAATAAACTAATCCAATTAATGAAATCAAGACTTTAACAAGAATTTCAAAAATCGCCACAAAAAGTCGACCCGAGCCCACGCTTCGGAATCAGGTAAAAGTTACAAAATATGAACACCCATTCAACCACGAGTCCACCCATACTAAAATTACTCAAATCCGATACCAAAATCTGAATCAAAACCCAAAAAATTGGTTGAAGAACTTTCCAACTTCTCCCCCAATTTTCTCAACCCAAATCCTTAATTAAACATGAAATTAACGATAAATTAGTGGAATATAACCATAAATGACTTAAGAATCATTACCCAATAGCTTCCTCTGAAAATCCCTCAAATTATCGCCTAAATCCGAGCTCTCAAAGTCCCAAAGTGAAAATGAGATCAAACCCTCGTAATTTCCTATTTTCTGCCTAGTGATTTCGCACTTGCGGACCCATAGTCGCACCTGCGGATATTCCATCGCAGGTGCGGACTTGAGTTAACACACCTGGGTCCGCTTCTACGATCAAATGGCCGCACCTGTGAGTGCGCGCCTGCGGAACTAGCCCGCTTCTGCGGACTCCTCACCCAACTCGTTCTTCGCTTCTGCGATCACCCCTCCGCAGGAGAGGCTCCGCTTCTTTGGTCCTCATGTCGCACCTGCGACCACTAACTACCTAGACCAGGGGCGCATCTGCGACATTCCTCTCGCACGTGCGTGTCCACACCTACGGCCAACCTCACCGCAGGTGCGATGACACCAGAAGCTGGAAAGCTTCAACAATTTCAACACAACTCCAAATGATCCGTTAACCACCCGAAATCAACCCGATGCCCCCGGGACCTCAAGCAAATATATTGATAAGTCCTAAAACACCATACGAACTTAGTCGAGCCCTAAAATCACATCAAACAACAACAAAAACTTGAATCGCACCCCAATTCAAGCTTAATGAACTTCGAAACTTCAAACTTCTACACCTGACGCCGAAACCTATTAAATTAAGTCCGATCGACGTCAATATTTGCACACAAGTCACATTTGACATTATGGACCTACTTCAACTTCCGGAATCGGAATCCGACCCTGATATCAAAAAGTCCACTTCCGGTCAAACTTCTAAAAAATTTAACTTTTGCCATTTCAAGCCTAATTCAGCTACAGACCTCCAATTCACAATCCGGACACGCTCCTAAGTCCCAAATCATCCAACGGAGCTAACGGAACCGACAAAACTCCATTCCAGAGTCGTCTTCACACAGTTCTAACTACGGTCAAAATCCTAGAACTTAACCTTCCGTTTTAGGGACTACGTATCCCAATCACTCCGAAACCAAGAACAAAACCTCCCGACAAGTCACATAAGCATAAGATCATACGGGTAAAGCAGTAAAGAGGGGATCAGGTCTATTACTCTCAAAACGACCGACCGGGTCGTTACAGGTTATTCCGAGGTTTCAGGTTGCACACTTTGCTCAACCACTTTCTAGTGCATCTCCTGAACGGGGTGCCTTCAGCAGTCAGTCCTGCCGACTAGGCCCGAGCCAGTCCCAGCAGCCATGTCCACCGAGAGCTTGCTTCGAGTGTGGTGATACCCGTCACATGGTTAGAGGCTGCCCCTGACTCAGGAGGCACTACTAGAAAATAGGTCTATGGCAACAAATGTTTTTGCAACGGTTTAGAAACCGTTGATATAGACCAGTTATTGGAACGGTTCTAACCGTTGCAATATGACATGGGTGATACTAGCACACTTTGGCTACAAAACCGTTACAATTAATTAGAAACCATTCCCATAGGGTTTTATTTTTTGCGACACTTATGTTAACCGTGCCAATAAATATATATGTTGCCACGGATCTTGAATAAAATTCAACGGGAACAGTTATTATTTCCCTCCTAAAATTTTGCCCCCTTAATTTTAGTAAAACCCGCGCTAGAACCCCTATTGTTTACATAATTTCTTTTTGTCTTAATTAATGGACTAGTATATTATTTTATGAAATATAAGTTTCTATACCTCAAAAACACGTTACAGAACCTCCGTCGGCAAAAGCTAGAGGATCTTTCACCCTTAGCCATCCATCTCAAAAGGGACTTCACCTCAGAACCTCCATCAACCTCCGACTCTGCCACCATCCCGCCGTCAACCTCCGCAGTAGAACCTTGATTTTCTTTTTTCTTCACCCAGAAACTTTATCTCCTCCGCCAGAAACAACCACCTCCTTCTATTAATCCAAGCTCCACATTTTCAAATAGTCCCAAAATTCTAGGATTTTTTCTCGACTAAGCTCGACTACCACTTCTTGTTCTCACAGAGCCCTAATTCTAGGTTTTTGCTCGATTCTAGCGAATTTTCAGTTTTACATTGCATGCTCTTCATTTATTCCTTTTGCAATTTCTCAATAGTTGAGCCATAATTTGCAGATTCCATTAGTGAAGAAGAAATTGCAACTGATAGCTGTGGGATAAATCGCGGTAAGTTTTTTTAAACTCTTTTTAATTTACATTTTAGATAACCACATTCGATAGTTGTATTTTTGAATGAAGATTTCAGTATTAATGTTCGTTATTATCCGATTCAACTGATTTTTATTTTTTAGAGTATTTGAGCGACGTAGTGTGATTGAATGGAGATTAAACACACTGGTGCATGTCTTCTTATTGTGCTTGAAATTGTGCTTTACGTTGGTACAATTGATAGGTTTTGATTCTATATTTTGTTGGATATGTCAATGTTTGATTCAGTTGTTTTTGTTAAAAAATTCTTTCTTGTTCAACTTATTAAACTCACAGCTTTAAAGCTGTGAGTTTTTTCTACTGAAGCTTTTAATCTAAGTTAGAGTTCTATTAGGATTTTGTTGTACTATAATTCCTCCCTTTTTGTTCTTGATATTATGAGGAAAACAGGAAATTTCATCCTAGTTTCTGCCGATATCCTTAAAATTCTTTGTAAAAATAACACACAAATTATATTTTTTGTATTGTGCAGAGAACTGTTTTGGCAGACTTACGAGTACCGTAACTCAGCTATATTTTCTGTTATAACCTTAGCTTTTGGTGGTTTATTGGAGCTTGAACATCCAAGTTTGTGCAGGTACAATTTGTTTCGCTATGTGAAAATAACTTAATTTTCGATAGTATGAAAATGGCTAGTGATATTTTATTTGTGGCCAATTTCTATTTGGATATTCCTCTGAGAATCTTCTTTTTGTGTCTATAGAGGTATGTTCTTTATTATTTCCTTGGTATTTAACAATCTTTATTGTTCTGTAGAGCTTCTGTTTGTGTTCTTTATTGTATCCTTGCTGATTTTTCAATAAGGTCCAGTCGAGTGGAGTGTTAAGTAGTTACTTGTGTTTGAAAATTTCCATATGGAAATCAAATTACAGCAGAATTGCCGCACGAAACTACAGTTCATAAGACACAAAAAGTACATGTAAACATAAATTGAAAATCAATTGCATCAGACATATATGAATTCCACCATATTAATAGACCTAAAATAATATTTACAAACTTATTTTCAGTATGCATTTTCTAATAAAAACTCCAGTACCTTACTACTTGTTTTTTCACAATGAATTGCTTCTTCCTGGTAGGGACAATTCCACTCAGTTCCTAGATGCATTTTCAAATTGCAAGTCAGATTATAGTTCGAACTGATATTCATTGCAAAATTCTAGAATTAGTCCAAAAGTAGTTGTGTCAAATCGATTTAGTTTAAAATTTTAAAATTGCTTGTCCATTCTAATATGACTTATTCAAACACTTCTTTCTGTAAGCCATATGCTCTATGTATATGTGTGTTTATTAATGGATATGATTTTAGATATAGTGATCAAGTCCAATTTTTCATTTTAATGAAATCATCCTATTAAAAAGTCCTTCTTTACATGATCTATCTTTGTGAAATTGGTGATATCTTGTTAAATAGGCTTCTGGTAGAGTGTATGAATTTAAGTTGTTTAATTAGATCTTCTATGTGTCAATGTTGCCTGTGTCAGGTGAATTATATGGATAAGAGTTAACTTTGCTTACCTTGAATATTAATTTTGGTGATTTGAATATGTTATATAGGATATTTATGGATTACGGTGATAAAAGTTGGATGAATCTCCTAACATGGACGGATGAGTATATCTGTGGAGTGAATAATTTTCTTGATAGGGCATTTGAACGAGCCGTCCAAGGAAATGAAATATTATGCCCTTGCAAAAAGTGCATTAATAGCTATTGGCATTATAGAAATGTGGTGGAGGATCATTTGATTGTTCATGGGTTTGTTGATAGTTATACCAAATGGGTTTTCCACGGGGAAGGATTTTTCTCGAGAAATACACCTCATCCAAGCAATGATGATGAAGGTTCTAAGATGCATGACGATATTGATGGACTACTTCATGATATATTTAGAAATATAGAGGGTTGGGCAGGGGATGAAGGAGGAGTTGGGGAAAGACTATCTGAAGATGCAAAGAAATTTTTCAAATTACTGGAGGAAGGAAAGCAAGAGTTATATCCGGGGTGTGAAAATTTTAGTAAACTGAGTTTCACTATTCGGTTGCACTTGATGATACTGATCGGGACTGAATGGAAGCACATGATTAAATAAGAAAATTCTGAAATTCTTTTAAGTGTATTCTTTTTTGAGTGAGTGATAATGTCCTTTTTATTAATATTTTATGATTATTTTTGTTTATATCCTTTAGAAAATTATTCTGACATGCTTCAATTTTGCAGGATTTGGGATCTGGTAACATTATTGTAGATACTGAATTAATTGAGAGAGATTTGGGATCCTTTTGTTCGGTTGTTGTGGCCCGACCCTTCTCCAACATCCTCTTCTGGTTTAGCTGTGATACATTTTGAGGTAGAACATCAAAATTGTGATCCAACCATGCTACATTATTGGTTCTGTTTTTTTAGTCTTGGAATTTGCATTCTTGCTTTTTTATTCGAACTTTCCTATTATTTGATGTTCATATCATTTGTTGGTATTTTGCTAGCAAGTAGCCTCATTATACAGAAAGAAACCTTCATTTTTCTCATTGATATCCATGCTGATATACAAACCTTCTTAAGATAATTACATGTAAATCTTTACAATAAGTATTAATTAGTGACCTAATAAAATTGATAACTAACTTAATATAATAGATTAAACTATAGTAATGTAAAAATTGATATATAGAACTTAAATTTATATATCTGAAATGGTTGCAGTTTAGACAGCAGTACTAATACATGGCGTTAGTATATTGGCAGTAAAGGTTGGGAGAAAGAATAAATCCTGGAACTTTATATTACAGCTACAACTACTATGCCTCTCCCAACCTAGAACTTTATACTACAAACTTGTGATTTAGATCTTATATTTAGAACTTCATTTGGAGTTCAGTAGTTTGATATCCTTAACACTAGGACGTACAGAACATGGATATTGTTTGGCATTTTGAAGTACTATTCGGTGCTGAAAGTTCATATTTTCAGACTAGTTTTTGGTCGAAGGAAATTAATATTAAAGATGTTAAAGATTTTGGGCAGCAAATGATATAAAATTAGGCTGTACTTATCAATTTATGAACAGATAGAAGTTAACTTTATATGGTGTATATTTTGCAGATCTGAAGGTGATCGTTTATACCTTAAGTCTTTGTCTCTTCTTGAATCTTTGCAACTATTTGAGAACCAGTTTTCTGGTGAGATTCCTATTGAATTTGAAAGGGAAAATGACCGATCTTTTGCTAGTCTTTTCATTCTTGAATTCCATGTCTTTTCATTTCTTGTTGTTGCTTTTGCTAACCTATTTTGTGTCTGCTTTTCAGAATCTGAAAAAGATTTGAATACTCATGAATCAAGAAGGGTGCTCAATCAAAAGCAAGAAAATATCCAATCGCATTCCAGCTGGATCACTTGCATCTTTGCGAAATCAAAGGGTTTCGTCGTTGACAAGAAAAAGAACCTTTCAAGCTACAAGTTCAAATGAAAATGAAGAACGACAATTAGAAGCTGGATTACCTTCATCTTTGCGAAACCAAAAGGTTTCGTCGTTGCCAACAAAAAGAGTCTTGAAAGCTATAAGGTCAAATGAAAATGAAGAACGACAATCCGAATTAGGATCTCAATTGCAAGAACAAGTGCAGCAAGTGCCACAGAATTCTACCTCTTCAGCAGCACAAGGAGTACATGAACAAGTGCAACAAGCGAATATGGATTCCATCACTCCTGCATCACAGGCAGTACATGAATGACCTGAGGATTCTACCAATCATGAAGCAATTGAACAATTTGAGGAACAAGGCAATGATATATAAATTTTAATCATAAAAGTAACTAACAATAATGATTGATGATTATCTTTGCTTTGTACTATTGCAGGCCCCTCCGCGCCAAAAAGAAAAAGAGGTCGTACTCAAATGCCAAGAGTACATGGAAGAAAGGAGCGTAAAAGAATCACTCTAAATGAGTATAATCAACCCATTGGTCCTATTGACGAAGTTGTAAAAGAGTTGGGTAGCTTCCTCGGCACATTGGCAAGGAGTGAAACTTTTTGTCCTCTTAATGTATTTAATTGGAGGAAACTAGACACAAAAGATGATATGTGAAAATATATCAAGGTGTGAAGTTCCCAATGTTTAATAAACGTGGATGATATTTCCTTTTTTTTTAATACTAACCCAATTGCACTAAATTTGTAGGAAAAATATGACATTCCTGACGAGACGAAAACATGGATTTTTGAATCAATTAGTACTGCTTGGAGAAAGTATAAGAATCAGTTGAAGAAAAAACACTTTCAAGCCTATGAGAATGACGAGCTTCGAATGGAGAATAGGCCAGTAGATGTTCCGGAATCTCACTTTAAGGATCTTTTTAAATATTGGAACTCCGATCCTCACAAGGTAATTACATCCATTCTTTCTGTGACCTATTCTCTGCTTGTTTCTTGTTTTACTTTATGTGAAGGAATGTAGGTTGGCACCCAACTTCTCCCTTAGCTAGCTAGTCTCTGTATCAATATAGAAGATAAATATATGGTGTTTACTATTGGAAGGGACTTTGATAATAATGGTCTGTCTTCTGTAGAAGTATAGTTTCTGAATATTTAGAGACGTTACCTATTTGAATCTCACAATTTGTAAAGTAGGAAATAGCTCAAAATTTACATGTAAAGGTCTAACTGGGCCTTATTTCTTCATCATAAACAAAAGTCCAAGGCAGCATGTTTTGCTCTTTCCTGGGAATATGGTGCTTTTAAAACACCTTATTTTCCTTTCTCAAAGTCCCCATAACACTCTGTAGAAAACTTTGAGTTGAGTTTGTCAAGTAGTTGTATATGAAAGCCATATAAAACACTTCAACAATCCAAACACTGAAACAAACAAGGAATGACCGTGTACCCAACTATATATGTGGATGTTTTTTTGTGTTTCTAGTAATATGTTAAAACTAAACAAGACTGATGTAATCGTCATGTGTATATTTGTTTTGCTTTCTGTTTAACAGATTCGCTCCACTCAGTGTTCTTATTTTGCAGTACTAGGATGTTTAAGGGCCTGGGTCAGACTGTTCCGGAGTAAGTAAAAACTGTCTTGCCAGATTTTGGTCTGAATGGATTAGGCTAAATCATGAAACATATATTGAATTCTTTACAAACTGAATGATTCTACTTATGCATGACGCAGTTTAGTAACTATTATATATACTGAAATGAATGCTACCATCTATGGTTGACTCGTTTATTTGCAGAAAATGTCCGAAACCAATACAGAGAATCAAAATAAGTTGAAGTGCCCGCACACTGCTGGCAGACCAAGTTTTGCTCTAATCCGCGAGGTTTGATATTTTCTCTCTCTTTTTTTTTTTTTTTTTTTTAAAATATGAACTTGCTAACTTTACATGGAAAGATTCTTATACCTGTTTTCATGTAACTAGGAATAAAAGAAGGAAATTTCTGATACTTCGGACACTCTATCAAGTAAGGACATCTTTGTGGCTACAAGAAAAAGAAAACCTGGCCGAGAATACAAAGGCTCATATGACAATACAATTAGTAAAATTGTACGAAATTTCTAATTTAAAGTTTGTCGTGATTATTTATTTGTTCTTAATTATTGATTCAATTTTATTTACTTAAACTTTTTTCTCTTGCATTTGGTTTGTAGGCTGAAATAGATAGAATACAATCAACTCAAGAAAGCGAAGATGGCAGTCATTCAGTTGACGATTTTGCGTCAGTCATGAGACCTGAACATCCAGGTCGCGTGAGATTGTATAGACGAGGGGTTAATAAGACTGTCTTAAAAGGAAAAATAGGAAATCTTGGATCATTTTCAGACGCTAGTGATGAGAGGATGCAGCAGAAAATGGAGGAAATGGAAGAGAGGATGCAACAAAGAATGCAGGAAAAGTTGAACGAACAAAAGGATGCTATGGAACAAGAAATTATAATGAACGTCGTCGCACGAATTCAGCGTCTGAACCCAGAATTGCGACTTGATCCTGACATGCTAAGGTTCAGTGCTCGTTCACCTGTGGAAGCTTCCTCTGCACAACAAACTGCTGTTCAACTAACCAATCGACCATCTACTGGTAGTAACAATCAAGGTCAGTACGTACCAAGTGCTATACATCTTCTTCTATTTCTTCTTCTCCTCCTCCTTCCTTGTGTTGCTTCTTCTACCACTTCTCTCTTTCTCTCTCTTGCAAAGTCAGAATAGTCTAGTAATTTTTACACTTTGCCTATGGGTTGATTTCCGTTCATATATTGAATATTCAATTTTAAGTGAGCTAGACCTGTTACTTATTCATAATTCAGGCAAAATGTTTATCCTGAGTAATGCTATAAAGACCCAACTTTTCTTGTTTACATGAATTTAATTTTCTTCTCTTTTCTCCCCTAACCTGCTTTTATTGAAGTCTCAATAAACAAATCTCATAGCTCACATAGGCCAAATAGCTGAGCACTAGAAAGGGCAAGAAAAGAGAGACAAAATTCTGAAAATGATTGAAGTTCCATTTACACCTAATACTGCTATTGTTATACAAGTAAAGAAAATCCTCAATAACCTTCTCAACATATACAGCTGTGTATATCCACAGCATACTAATTGATACTAAATATTTATAGTGATATTACCAAATTCAACATGAATCACAACTCAGAAGTAGGGGATAACATCAAAAACTCTGAAATTATTAATTCTCTAATCTCCAAGAACTATTTACACGATATCTTAGACCGGATTCTCTTGAAGGGTAATGACTTTATTTATCCTCTTTTGCAGGTGGAGTAGATTAAGAAATGGAAGATGAAGGCAGTGAAGAACTAGACCTTACTTGAGATGAATTTTGAATTGCTATAGATGAATGTTCTAGGAATCTTTTGTTATCAACATTTTGAAACTTACTCTCTTGAAATATATTAAACTTATGCACTTAGGGTAGAACATCTGCTTTATGGATATTATTAGCTTGATGGATAATTTATATTATTAATAGTTTTATTTTATGATTTATTTAAATTTTAGTGTTATTATAATTTATTAAATATATAAATATTTATTTATAACAGGGGCTATAGTTTTGTTTTACTGAACTGTTACAGTAGCCTATCAGAATCGTTGCAATAGGACACAAATGACGTTCCATTAGACAATATAAATTGTTGCAGTAGGTCCTATAAACTGTTCCGAAATGATCGATAAACCGTTCCAATAGATAGTTAAAACTGTTGCAATAGCTTTTCCTCTATTGTCATAGTTTACTATAAACTGTAGCAATACAAATAAAACAATTACAATAGCTTAAAGAAACTGTTATATCCATACAAAACCATAATAATAGCTTACATAAGTATTGCATTAAATAATATGGTAACTGTTAAGAACCGTTGCATACAAAATATAGTAACAGTTTTAAACCGTTCCAACAGAGAAAGGAAAAACAGTTGCGATAGACGTATCTATAACAATGGCGACGCAAACCGTTGCAAAAATCGTTCCTATAGCTCTATTGGCATACGGGCTGATGGAACAGGCTGTAAACCGTTACAATACCTCTATGGCAACAATTTAACTGTCTATGGGAACGGTTTTCCATGCGTTACCATTGACCAATTTTTCACTAGTGAGGGGTGCACCTCCACAGACTACTCAGGCTCCACGGATTCAGTCAGGTCCACAAACTTCTCAGGCCATACTTGCTGTCCCAGTTGCCGCTCCGCCCGCACAACCAGCTAGGGGTGGGGGACGGGCGGGTAGAGGTCACCCTAGAGGGGGAGGGCATGCCAGATTCTATGCTTTTCTGGGTAGGACGGAGGCAGTTGCTTCAGACTCGGTCATTACAGGTATGGTTCCAGTTTTTCATAGAGATGCATCAGTCTTATTTGATTTGGGATCCACTTATTCATATGTGTCACCTTACTTTGCTCGGTATTTGGATATATCTCGTGATTCTTTGAGTTCTCCTGTTTATGTGTCTACGCCTATGGGAGATTCTATCATTGTGGACCGTGTGTATCAGTCTTGTTTAGTTGTTATTGGTGGTTTTGAGACCAGAGTTGATCTATTGTTACTTAGTATTATAGACTTTGATGTTATCTTGGGAATGGACTGGTTGTCGCCCTATCATGCTATTCTAGATTGTCACGCCAAGACTGTGACGCTGGCTATGCCAGGTTTACCACGGTTAGAACTGAGAGGTGCATTGGATTATGTTCCTAGCAGGGTTGTATCATTTCTAAAGGCTCAGTGGATGGTTGAGAAGGGGTGTGATACTTATCTAGCCTTTGTGAGAGATGTCAGTGTTAATACTCCTACAGTTGAGTCAGCTACAGTTGAGTCAGCTACAGTTGACCTAGAAGGGTTCTCCTTTCAGATGGTCCGAGGAGTGTGAGGAGAGCTTTCAAAAGCTCAAGACTACTTTGACTACAGCCCCAGTGTTAGTGTTGCCTACGGGCTCGGGGTCCTATGCTGTGTATTGTGATGCGTCATGTGTTGGCCTTAGCGCGGTGTTGATGCAAGACGGTAGGGTGATGGCCTACGCGTCTTGATAGTTGAAGACCCATGAGAAGAATTATCCAGTCCACGACTTGGAGTTGGAATCCATTGTTATGCATTGAAGATCTGGCAGCATTATTTGTACGGTGTCCCTTGTGAGGTTTTGCTGACCACCGGAGTCTACAACATCTGTTCAAATAAAAGGATCTTAACTTGCGGCAATGGAGGTGGTTAGAGTTGCTTAAGGACTATGATATCACAATTTTATATCATCCCAGGAAGGCTAATGTGGTGGCCGATGCCTTGTGTCGAAAGGCAGAGAGTTTGGGTAGTTTGGCATATCTACTAGTAGTAGAGAGGCCATTAGCATTGGATGTTCAGGCCTTAGCCAACCAGTTTGTTAGATTGGATATTTCAGAGCCCAGTCGAGTTCTTTCCTGCGTGGTTTCTTGGTCTTCTCTATATGACCGTATCAGAGAGCGTCAGTATGATGACCCCCATTTACTTGTCCTCAAGGACAATGTTCAGCACAGCGATGCTAATGAGGTTACTATTGGGGATGATGGTGTGTTGCGGATGCAGGGCCTGTTATGTGTGCCCAATGTGGAGGGTTTGCGTGAGTTGATTCTTCAGGAGGCCCACAGTTCGCGGTACTCCATTCATCCAGGTGCCGCTAAGATGTATCAAGACTTGAGGCAACACTATTGGTGGAGGAGGATGAAGAAATACATAGTGGAGTATGTAGCTCGGTGCCTATATTGTCAGCAGGTGAAGTATGTGCATTAGCGGCCGGGTGGTTTTCTCCAGCGACTTGAGAATCCCGAGTGGAAATGGGAGCGTGTCACCATGGACTTCGTTGTTGGGCTCCCACGGACTCAGAAGAAATTTGGCATGGTATGGGTGATTGTGGATAGGTTGACCAAGTCAGCTCATTTCATTCCGTTAGTGACTACCTATTCTTTAGAGGAGCTGGCTCAGGTTTATATCTACGAGATTGTCCGGCTTCATGGTGTACCGGTATCCATCATCTTTGACCAGGGTACGCAGTTCACATCACGTTTCTGGAGAGGTGTACATCATAAGCTAGGCACACGGGTTGGGTTGAGTATAGCATTTCACCCTCAGACGGACGAACAGTCCGAGCGCACTATTCAGATATTGGAGGACATGCTTCGGGCCTGCGTTATGGATTTCGGGGCTCTTGGGATTGGTTCTTGTCACTTGCGGAGTTTGCCTATAACAACAACTATCAATCGAGTATTCAGATGGCTCCTTATGAGGCCCTATATGGGAGACAATGTCATTTTCCAGTTGGGTGGTTTGAGCTGGGAGGCTAAGTTATTAGGCACAGATTTGGTTCGAGATGCTTTGGAGAAGGTCAAGATGATCCAGAATCGGCTTCGTACAGCCCAATCTAGACAGAAGAGCTATGCGGATCGGAAAGTCCGTGATGTTGCATTCATGGTTGGAGAGCGAGTCTTGCTCCGAGTTTCACCCATGAAGGGTGTGGTGAGGTTCGGGAAGAAGGGCAAGTTGAGCCCTAGGTATATCAGACCTTTTGAGATCCTTGAGAGGATATGTGAGGTGGCCTACAAGCTTGCATTGCCATCTAGTTTGTCTGTGGTCCATCTGGTGTTCCATGTCTCTATGCATCGAAAGTATTATGGTGATCCATCTCATGTTCTATACTTCAACACAGTCTAATTGGATGAGGATTTGACTTATATTAAGGAGCTCGTGGCTATCTTGGACAAACAGGTCCAGAAGTTGAGATCAAAGAATATTGCTTCAGTGAAGGTTCAATGGATGGGTCATCCGGTCAAGGAGGCGATATGGGAGACCGAGCACGACATGCAGAGTTGTTATCCTCATCTATTCACCACTATAGGTAAGTCCTTATGCACGTTAGAGGACAGACGTTTGTTTTAAGAGTGGGAGAATGTAACGACCCGATCGTTCGTTTTGTGTAATTGCGCCCTGTTACCCAATTTTATGCTTCACACATATGTGTTTATAATTTTATGACTTGCGGGGTTGGTTAGTTCTGTTCCGGAAAACTTTCGGGTTGATTTGGACTCTTGATTCTTCACATAGAAGTTTAAATTAGAAATGTTGACCAAACTTTGACTTTTGTAAAAACGACCACGAAACTGTGTTTTGATGACTCCCAATAGCTTCGTATCCTGATTTCGGACTTGGGCGTATGCCCAGAATTGATTTTGGAAGTCCGTAGGTTGATTTATGTTGATTTGCCGAAATTGGCAATTAGAAGTTTAAAAGTTCGACCGTAGGTTGACTTTTAGATATCGAGCTCGGAACTTGAATTTGGGACTTGGAATAGGTCTGTTATGTTATTTAGAACTTGTCTGCAAAATTTGATACCATTTGGAGTTGATTTGATAGGATTTGGACGTTTAGTTGTAACTTTAAAAATTCTTAAACTTTACTTTGAAATTCATGCGTTTTAATATTCGATTTATAGTTTTAGATATTATTTTTATGTTTTGATCATGCGAGTAAGTTCGTATGATGTTTTTAGACTTATGTAGAGGTTTGGTTTGGAGCCCCGAGGGTTCGGATGAGTTTGAGACATGTTTCAGAATGGTTTTGGATTGAAACTAGACTGCTGGTGTGCTAGTGCTCTGTTATCGCAATTATGAGCACCCGCCTCNGTTCGCAATTGCGAACATTTGTCGCTTTTGCGAAGTTCCGAGCTTCACAATTGTGAAGCCCTTCTCGCAAATGCGATCATAGGCTATCAGGGTTCGCAAATGCGAACCCTGGTCCGCAATTGTGAGGGTTCGCAAATGCAAACCCTGTGTCGCAAATGCGACATCTGCAGCTGGTTAAAGGGTTGGGAGACTGGATTTTTGAATACATTCTCTCATTTTTGAACCCTAGACTCGGTAGGAGGCGATTTGGAGAGGGAATTTTCACCTAGAAACATTGGGTAAGTGATTCTAATCTATTTCTAATCATATTCCATCAACATATCTTAGATTGTAACATCAAAATCATGTGAATCAAAGTGAAAATTTATGAAACTTTGTCAAATTTTTGAAAAATAAGAAATTGAGTTTTGAGAGTCGATTTGTACTCGGATTTTGAAACTAATTAGATATATGATCTCGTGGGGTCATGGGTAGACGAAATCTACCATTGGACCCGGGTTTTGACCGGGCGAGCCCCGGGTTGACCTTTGTTGACTTTTTGAAAAAACGTGTAAAGATCTTAGCTTTATCTATTGTAATTGAATTCCCTTGCATTGTTTGATGGTATTAAGTTGATTTTGGTTAGATTTGAGCCGTGTGGAGGCACATTTTAAAGGAAAGGCCATTTTTGAGTGTTGAATTGGTCTAGTTGAGGTAAATATCTTGCCTAACTTTGTGTGGGAGAAACTACCCCTTAGGATTGGTATTGATTGATTCATTTGTGCTATGTGAAAACTGTGTATGCAAGGTGACGAGTGTGTACACGGGTTGTACGTGGTATTTGAATGGTTTAGGCTACT